CCAGGTTGGTCCACAGAACGGTCTCGCAGTAATCCAGGGCAGAAACAGGGAGGCTCTGCCTATCTGGGTTGAGGAAATGACCAGCTGCCTTTGAAGAGGAGTGGTGTAGGGGTTGGATGATGGGGAAGCAGCCGTTCTCCTCCTGCTGTGCTAGAAGGAGGGCCGCTCTCCATTAGACGGACGAGGAGGTGCGACCCTTGAAGCGTCCTTCTTGTCCAGAGCTCTAAAATCCAGGCTCTAATATCTTCCTTCTCTGTGACTTTGACTTCTCGCCTGCATCACTCAGTGCGCCCCTTATTTCTTTGGGCCTCACAAAGGTATACTCGCCTTTTTATCTCTCTCTCTCTCTCTCCCTGATTCCAACTGTCCCTCCAACTGTCTCTTCCAGCCGTCTAACTGTCCTTTTTGCTCCGCCCCCTCCTGCTCTATCCTCTGATTGACAGGCAGGAATGACGCCATCTTTTGGATTCCGCTAAAACCGGTTCTGTATAAATGGGCACCCACTCCCCAGAGGATGCAGTGCAGCATTCCTAACCGAGGCAGCTTCTCCCACTCAAGTTAATAGTTGGTGAAGAGAAAAGGTGCTTTCTATTTCAAATGCTATTTATTTATTTTATGGACAGGCTGCCTTTCGCCTGATAAGGCGACCCAAATTTGGAAATACAGTGGTGCCTCGCAAGACGAACGCCTCGCGGGACGAAAAGCCCACAAGACGAATGGTTTTTCCGATCGCTATAGTGCCTCACAAGAGGGCTTCTTCTATGGCCGTGCTTTGCAAGACGGGTTTTTTTTTTTCAAGACCGATGCTTCGCAAGATGAAAAAAAAAATCATTCATCTTGGGAGCTTGCCATAGGAATGCATTGCAATGCATTCCTATGGGAAACCGCTTTTTGCAAGACAATTTTTTCACAAGACAGCGCTTCTCGCGGAACAAATTACATTCGTCTTGCGAGGCACCATTGTACCTGCACATATTTCCATGCCAGAAAAAGCTGCACTTGCTAAATATCTAGGCCTCAGTCGTAGGCATCTTCTGTGATCTGTTCATGCTCATCAGAACCTGTGAAGAAAGCCTCACACGCAACTATCCATGTGGAAGCCTTCTTCGGCACATCAGAAATCCTCCAAGTGTGGGGACTCCACACATACTGAGGAATCCACAGAAGCACAGACTACAGTATAAGCATCATGTTGCTCCCCAGGTGCAAACCTGCAAGGTTAAATACTTAGGAATTAATATGACAAAAAAAAAACCCTAAGTACATTAATGAAGGACAATTATATGAAAGTAATGAAAGTAGATTTGCAAAAATGGACTAAACTCCTAATGGGTAGAATAGCCGCAATAAGAATGAATATACTACCAAAACTCTTCCAGACAATCCCAATATTATTAAAACAATATTTTTTTAAAAGAACTGAATATGACCAAGTTTGTTTGGGATTGATTGATTGATTGATTGATTGATTGATTGATTGATTGATTGATTGATTGATTGATTGATTGATTGCATTTATACCCCACCTATCTGTTCATTGCGAACACTCTAGGCGGGATGGGAAAAAAACCAAGATTAAAGCTTAAGTCTCTTCAGGACAATAAACAAAGGGGGTGGGGGTTGGCCTACCAGACTGGATGAATTATTACAGAGCAGCAGGTCTGTCCTAGATGAGAGAATGGGTTACTCTACAAAATCGGAGACTTTTAAAAATTGAGGGGCATGATTTAAGACTAGGCTGGCATGCCTACCTATGGTACCTACGGCCTAACTCACAGCCATAAATACTGCACTCCCAAAGCCAACTACACCAGAGCACAGAGTACTGTCCTCTGAAGATGCCCATGGCCACAGAGACTGGCGAGACGTCAGGAAGAACAACCTTCAGAACACGGCCAAAGAGCCCGAAAAACCCACAACAACCATCTCCCCTCAGTCTTATTTTCTTCAGGCTAAACAGGACCAGTTCTTTCCGTCTTTCCTCCTTATAGGGCTTGGTTTCCAGTCCTTTGGTTGTCCTTGTTGCCCTCCTCTAAACTCGCTCCAGTTGGTCAGCATTCCTCTTAAACTCACAGAAGAGAATAGCTTCAAGTTCTCCACATAGTCCACCCCTTTCTCATTAACTAGCACTTAAGGTCTCACTAACAAGGGGCACATCGGCAAATCTCTCTTGTACCTTAATGTCCACCCAAATAAACACAAGAGATGAGCTCTGTGAAACACCCTAAGCCTTTGTTTCCCCAAACATGGACTAGATGAACTAGACGAGTGGCGAATCTCTGCGCATAGGACCGCTTTGGAACATGACCTTTATGGGAGTTGACATGATCATAGCTTGTTCTAGCTCATAACCTGCACACTATTGATGTGTTATATTAGGAGTGGAGTGGCTAGTGGGATTATTCGGTAGTGTTTACATGAGGAAGCAGTTAAGGTCCAAGATGGCTGCATCCACATATCTTTGTTTCGAGTGAAGGAGAATTATTAAGTTCCTTATTTGGCACACGTTCAGCCATAACCTTTTGCTTTAAATAGGAGGGGCCCCACCACGTTTTCATGAATATCCTTGCATTTTAAAACATTAAGAACACACAGACGTGCCTTTCCATAGACATCAATCAGAAGACTCAAAAGGGCAGCAAGGAAAGGTGCAGAAAAAGTCAGCAAGTTTATTTATCTCAAATGAGCAGCTAAAATGTATTACTGTGGTCTTCTCCAGAGCTCATCAGCAACTCTCACAAAAACAAGTGGAGGGGAAAGCAGGGATCAAAGCGATCCTGCAGCGCTTTGATCCCTTTCCCCCTACACTTGCTAAGCCCCACTTAGATTTCTTAATTTTGGGTTAGAAAGGGTGGCGTCTTATACACGGAAAAATACGGGTATCTATCTGAGGTCTGGGGGAACCCAGGCGTCCTGGGGTCATGGAGGGTTACAGAGCAGGGGGCCAGCTCATGAGCCATGGAAACCCCAGGGACGAGCCAGCAAAAATACGGATTATTCGTCAAGAGCCTAACAAAACACACACACAGAGAGCAGGGTGCCATAGCAAAACACAAAATTCAAAAGCCTTGCTGATCTCTCATGTTGTACCAAAACAGTGCCTGCAGGTTGAAAGCACAGCTGGAAAAATTTTTTCTTCTCGGGTGGTAGTAGCCCCCCCAAAAAGGAACTTTTCCAAGGTCTGTCTTAGAGCGCGTTAAACTGTTTTGCTCCCATCGCCCTCGGTAGAGTTGACCCCCCCATCTGGAAGGCGTGCCAGGTGGGGCAGGCTTTTAAACCGGCCTCTAAAGAAAGGGGGGAAATAGGCAAGAGAAGAATTCCGTGCACAGGAACCAAAAGATCTTTAGGAATTAGAAAAGACGGCCGGGCTAGTTATGTTCCTGCGTTTGCAAAATGTCTTTAGAACCTCAAACTCTCTGGGGATGAAAGTGGCAGGGAGTTCCAAAGGTCATCAAGCAGGTTTGTGGATCATTTGTTCTTAGTTTTAAAGATTGCCTTTCCCCTGGAGTCTTTTTCGAGGAGAAAGGTGTGTGCGGGTGAAAATATTTTAAATTAATAAATCTCTGCCTGAGAAAACTGAAAGCCTAGAGACGGTTCAGAAAAGTGATGCCCCACGGGTGGGGGGGCAGGTGAGGTCTTGCAAACTCCAGCCCTGGGTTTCCTTTAGGGAGCCCGTCCCTCCCACGTCCAGCCTCCCTCTTCTCCTGCTGCCTTCAACTTTTCTCGCATTTTGGTCTCTTGCCCTGGAAAGACCACAACTCCCATGCTGGCTGCGGGCAGGGAGGGGTGGAATTAATTATGGGAGTTTACATATGTATATGTACAGTGGTGCCTCGCTAGACAGTTACCCCGCATGACAGTTTTTTCGCTAGACATTGACTTTTTGCGATCGCTATCGTGATTCGCGAAACAGTGATTCCTATGGGGGAATTTCGCTGGACAATGTTTGGTCCCTGCTTCGCAAACCGATTTTCGCTAGACGACGATTTTTACAGCTCCCTCCACGCTCGCAAAAACGGGTGTTTTCGGGACCTAAGCTTCGCAAGACAGTGATTTAAACAGCTGATCGGCGGTTCGCAAAGCGGCTTTCCTATGGCCGATCTTTGCTAGACGACGATTCTTCCCCATTGGAACGCATTAAACAGGTTTCAGTGCATTCCAATGGGGAAATGCTTTTCGCTAGACGATGATTTCGCTAAACAGCAATTTCAGTGGAACGGATTATCATTGTCTAGCGAGGCACCACTGTATATGTATATGTATATATGCGCATATATATGTGTATATGTTTAATAACATATATAAACATAAACATATTTAATATATATATTAAAAAACTCCCATAATTAATTCCACCACCCCTTGCCTGCAGCAAGCATTATGTACAGCAAGGTGGACGGGGATAGCCTGCTCCTGAGGATGGAGGCTCGTCTCCCGATCCCCAGCTGTTTTGTGTAAGGGGGGGTTGTGGGTTGTTGTTGTTTTTTCCAATGGCTGGGCTAAAAATATATCGAAAAAGATGACGCCATCATCCTGTCCCTGCGCATGGGAAGCGCGTGCACTCCGGCCGGCCACGCGGCCGGCAGGCATGGAAGGGCCCGATCCCAGGTAGGCTTCCTCGGAAGTAAAGCGCCCTTTCCTGTGCCTGGTTCTCAAGGGAGCCCTAAAGGATCTCTTTCCAGCTCTGCAGTTTGAAGAGGAGGAGGATGATAAGGATGATGAATCATTTGTCCCCAGGCAAGGTGGACCGGAGGAGGGGGAGGTGGTACAGGTTTACACGAAAGCCTGCCTGCCTCCCGAGGAAGCCAGCCCCTCCGCCCGCTGGTTGGGCGCCCGTGCAACTTTGCTGGGGATCGGGACCCTCGCTCTTCCTCCCCTCTCCGCCGCCCCTTCTGCGGCTGCGCCAAACGAACCTGTTCGCCTCGCTAGCCAAGGGGAGGGGGGAGCGTTGGGGGAAGGCCAATGGGAGCGCTGGGGGCGTGGCTTTGTGGGGCCCCCTAGGCCCCGCCCCTTTCGAATCCTGCAACCTTGTAGCGGCTCCCTCGTTTGCCGGTACGTGCTGCGATCCAGGCGCACTTGGGGCGGCGGGTGGGGTGGGGGGCGATCCGTGAGTCGTATAGCCCCCCCTCGGTGGGAAGAGGGGACCGTTTGGTGGGAGGTGCGTGAGGGTTTTTTCCTTGGAGGGGGCAGATTGCTTATGTGGGAGGGGGGGAGAAGCCCCTATAGACCCCCCCTTGGTGGTGGGGGGTGTGTGAGAGGGAGGGAGTCATGCCCTTTGGGGAATGCTCTGCAAATGTGTGGGGAGGAGGTGGGGGCCGGGGAGCCTGGCATGCAAAGGGTTAACTTCACCTTAACGTCCTTTTTCTCCCCCCCCTTTTAGTAACCACGGGAAATAATCAGTTCCTTTGATTTTTTTTGATTTAATGAATGAATCAACCCCTTTGCAAAGGCGTGCTTTTCTTGCGTTTGGTTTATTTCCTCCCCCCCGCCATAACGGGCATGGAGGATGCGCTGCTCTCCCCCCCCCCAGTTCCAGCATTTTCTGTCGGGGAGGGGGGCGTTTGCCCTTCCTGGGAAGCTCCAAGATCTGTTACCTGAAACGTGCAGGTAACCAACCTGGCTTTTGTCAGGATGCAGCTCAAGGTGGGCGATCCTGCCCCTCGCTCACTTTCCAAGATGGAGCACCTGCCCCCCCCCTTGATGGCTCCCTCCCTCTCCCTCCCTCCATCCACACGTGCAATCAAGCCATCTAGCTTTAGGGGCTGCTTTACCCAGTTTAGAAACATTCATCAAAGCTTTAAAAATAAAAACTTTGTCTGGAATAAGGAAGACCAATGCCTTCTCTGTTTTTCGTTCAAATGCTATACAGTATTTTTGACCTTTGCCAAAGTCTGTAGTTGAATAAACCTTTTTTCCCCAAAGTGATTACACGTTTTTGACTCTGGACTTAATTTAGCTCATTGAAGAGAAATGGGGCCAGAGCGCATGCTGGTGTGGGCAGTTTTGCACCCATGACATGGAGTGACCAAGCTTCTCTCTCTTGCTTCCACCCCGCCACCCGGAATTCCTGCAGAAGCTCTCCTTAATTCTCCATTTAAAAAAAAGCTTTGCCCCCCCCACATGTTCCCTGAACCCCCTTCTTTTCCTCCAGCTTGCAGGAGTGCAGGGCCGGCTGGCCGCACATCTGGATTTTGTGCCGATGATGCTTCCGTTGATGGCCCCGAGGCTTGCAGAAGGGGGAAGGGAGAAAACAAGCAGCTGATCCAGGGGTGAGTCAGTGACTGGGGGGTGAATCGATTCAGGGGGGGGAGGCATCCTCTCCGTCCCTTCCTTGGACCTGCAGATGCTCGATGGCCTGTGATGATGTATTTTGATTGAGATTGTTGAGAGGTGGATGGGTCTTTAAAGCCCAGCACAGAAACTTCAGCCATTTGGAGGTTCTCCCCCACAAGCAGCAGGAGGGTTCATCACTCTGCATGTGCTCAGAGGCACTCTTGTCTCTTTGGATCCTGGAGCTCAGCGTTTTGTTTAGCTTTCTGCTGGGGGGGGGCGGCAGAGCAGACCCCAACCCAGGAAAGAGTGGGTTTAATTTTTATGAAGGAAGCCGCTTAAGGAATTGGGACATGTTTAAGTCTGATTTTTCTTTTTTTTCTGAATCTCTGTGATCAGTCAGACTGAGGGGGTGGCCTCAGCCGGCAGGCGCTGGGAGGTCTATCAAAAGTATCAGAAGGAAGAGCTGAGCATCTCTCCTACATTAAACTTCTGCCTTCAGGTGTGGTAGAAGATGCAGTGATGTTATGATGCCAGAATCAAAGCCCCAGACTTTTTTGAGTGGTAAGAACGGTGACATCGTCTACCACCGAACACACAATCCCTCCTCCTCTCTGGGTGTAGCAGTAACCCTTGTGGGAGCTGGGAGGGAAATGGATTTTCCTTCCCTGTTGTGAGCGATCTCTGTTGTAACACAGAGGATCTGAGGACACTGGGGTCTCGGACAGGCCATCAAGAGCCATTAGCTTTACAAAAGGCATGCACTTTCTTTGACTCGCCCAGCAACATGGAATTTTTTTTTTTTTTTGGACTCTCCCGGAGGGGAAGGGGCCTGGAAACCAAACCCTAGGAGGAAAGACTGAAAGAACTGGGCCTGTTTAGCCTTGGGGGAAATGAGACAAAAGGTGGGTAGGATAACACATTTCAAATATTTCAAAGGGATAACAGAGGAGGGGCAGGATCTCTTCTCGATCGTCCCAGAGTGCAGAACACACAGCCATGATCTCAAGTGACAGGAAGCCAGATTTTGATTGAATAGCAGGAAAAATGACTGGAAGGGCTGTTCTGATCGGCACTTGCCCTTTGAAATATACCATTCACGCTACGGGGAGGTTAAAAGTCCAATCGGCTTTCGCATCCCCGTTTTGTTTATTTATTCCGGCTCTGGCCAGCAAAAAGCTTGGGGGATGCCCTGGTTACATCTCTTCCTTTCCCCCTCTCTCTCCCCCAGCAGGATCCATGCCGGCCCAGGGGGTGGTTCGCCCCGAGCCCCCCGACGGAGGCTGGGGGTGGGTGGTGGTGCTGGCCGCTTTCCTCCAGTCGGCGCTGGTCTTCGGAGTGATCCGCTCCTTCGGCGTCTTCTTCGTGGAGTTCGTGACCCACTTTGACGAGCTTTCTGGACGCATCTCTTGGATCACCTCCATCGGGATCGCCATCCAGCAGTTTGCCAGTGAGTGGAACGAGCAGGAAGCGCCTCATTTGGGGAAGGGGAGGTGTGTGGGGGGGTCTGTTTCATGGGAAGGGAGCATGGAGAATGAATGATGAGGATGATCGTCCGTCCATGTATTGCAAATCCCTTTTCTTAGTCTCCTCCTCCACCAGCTAGGATGACGGGATGTCATAGAAGCATATTAATCATAAACACATGATTCTTTTTAAAAGCAATTAAAAACCGAGTCGGTGGAAGGGAAATCAGCCACTTCCTGGGTTTTAAAAAAAAACCCTTCTTACCCACCAGAGGATCACCCACACAAAGGGAACGGCACAGCTCCCAACAGGCTTTTTTGAATACTCTTCCAGGGCAGCACTGTGGAGTATAGACAACTGCAGTCCAGATGTTTTGGTGGCTGTAAAGCGGAGAAAGGAAAGCTGGTCATGGAATCTTTTCAAGCTCAGCTTCTCTAGGAGAAGTGAAAGGTTGCATTTTCCCCCATTAAGGAAGGGAAAACGAGGACTTAGACACGCAGAGGTGGATGCTGGCGCGAGAGACTGCACCCCAGGTCAGAGAGATTTAATAACACAAGAGTCGTCCTTCCTGGCAGGTCCGGTGGGAAGCGCCTTGAGCTGTCGCTATGGGGCCCGTCCTGTCGTCATGGCCGGTGGGTTTTTCTCCGGAGTGGGACTGCTCTTAGCATCCTTTGCCACCTGCCTGGCTCACCTATACCTCTGCATCGGGCTTCTGTCAGGTACGTTCTCCTTCGCAAAAACCCTGTCCTTCGCCTCCGGTCCGAAGGCTGCGCTGAATTAAATCTGTCTGTCTTGTCTTCCAATCCACAGGAGGACTTGATTCATTTTCCTTCCGAAAGAGGAGGAGGTAGAAATGTTAGAAAAATGGGTGAATTTGAGTGGGTGCCAAGGGTTGGAGAAAGGAAAGTCGGTCTTAGCTGGTTAGGATTGTGGTCAACAAGAGAGAGGGAGAGAGAGAGAGAGACCGCTGGATATTCCAGGCAGATGCAAAATTAGGTGTTGTTCAAGATGGCTGCCCTTGAGGATGCAACAAAGGCTCTTCCAGAATGGCCGCCATTCCCCCTGAGAAAGGAGCCCCTTGAGGTCTTGTTGCTCGGAAGAAGTGGTCTGCCCGTTGGGGGCAAACTGGGGTAGCAGGTAAGGGCCCGAGGCTGTAGGGAACGGTTTCCTTTGAGGGAACGTGATGGCCCCCTCAACGTGGGCCGTGACAACGTCACAAGAGCTGAGGGGCCAAGGTGCCTTTCTGTCTCCCGGCAGGTTTCGGCTGGGCTCTCGTCTTCACCCCATCGATGGCCTCCGTGGCGCGATACTTCAAGAAGCGCCGGACGCTGGCCACCAGCCTGGCCTTGACCGGCGTGGGGCTGTCTTCTTTTGCCTTCTCTCCGCTCTTCCAACTCCTGGTGGACACCTACGCTTGGCGTGGGGCCCTCATGATCGTGGCCGGCATGTCTTTCAACCTGATGGTCTGCGGGGCCCTGATCCAGCCACTGACCCTGAAGGAAGACCTCTCCTGCCCGACCAGAGGAGACCCCGGAGGGTCCTGCTGGAAAAAGTTCTCCTCGCTTTTTGGCCTCCACCTCCTCTCCCATTGGCCCTTCATGCGCTTCGTCCTTGCCGTTACCCTCGTGAACACCGGGTACTTCATCCCCTACGTCCACTTGGTGGCTCGGGCCAGAGAGCTCAAGTTCAGCGAGTACCAAGCGGCCTTCCTGATGTCCGTGGCGGCCGTGGCGGATCTGTGTGGCCGACTCTTCTCCGGCTGGCTGGGAAACTGCAGGGCTTTCCGCCTGATCCACATCTTGGTGACCTGGACTTTCCTGACGGGCGTCTTTCTGCTGCTGATTCCTTGTGGCCGGAGTTACCCTCTGCTGGTGGCCATTAGCCTGGGCTACGGCTTCTGCTCTGGAGCCCTCACTCCGTTGGTCTTCTCCATCATCCCTGAGATCGTGGGCATCTCAAACATCTTCAGCTCCATGGGGCTGCTGCAGATGATAGAGAGCATCGGAGGATTGCTCGGATCGCCCCTTTCAGGTAGGCCCAGCTCTTGACCCGCACTCTTTTTGACCTTTTTCTGCCACAGGGTCAAAAGTGGATTCCGTTCTGTAGGAGCTGGGAGTTGAGTCACGGCCACTGGACTTCTTCCTTGTTAGGTTGAAACGTTTTCGCTCCTCATCCAAGCAGCTTCTTCAGTCTGGGGGAGAGTTGGTAGGAGATTCCCTGATTGATCCTCACCATTGGTTTCCCTTCCCCCTGGTCTTGAATAGGATCCTTAGAAGGACAAAGGACTCTGGGGGTGAGGGATAATCCCACTTCTGCAGTTCTTCTCCACCCATTATCATAGGTCCTTAAAGGTCGTTAACAGTTGTTAACGATCGTCTTTCTGGTGTTTGTGGGCCTTATCTTTCTGGGGAACAGATGAAAGGGCTTCTGCCACTGGTAGATCAGTTGTTCCAGATTCAAACCAAGAAATTTGATACCTTAATCTTCCGAAAACACAAACCAAGAAATTTGATACCCTTATCTTCTGAAAACAGTCAGCAGTGGAACTCAGCAAGAAGGAGGAGGATGAGGGGACCACAGTGGAGGATGCAAAAGACAAATGGGTGAAAAAATCTCGGGGTCATCAGGACCACAGAGCAAGAAACATCTCCACCTCCACAGAAGCCCAGGAGAAGGAAGACGGACATATGAAAACAGCCCTGACGGCCTGTGGATATTGTTAAAGGGGCCTTTAACAAAGCTGTGTCCGGACCCAGCAAGAAAATGGAACAGTCTGAGATCCACAGTTGACGGAAGAACCTGGTCATTCCTTACATGGTGTGTGTGTCTGAAAAGCTCAAAAGGATTTATCATGCTTCCCTTTCATCCCTCCCCAGAAGGATTAGGTCCCCCACACACCAAAAAGACCACTGTTAACGACTGTTGACTATCTATGATAATGGGTGGAGAAGGACTGCAGAGGTGGGATTATCCCTCACCCACAGAGTCCGTTGTCCTTCTGAGGATCCTATTCAAGACCAGGGGGAAGTGAAACCAACGTGGAGGATCTACCAGGGATGTCCTACCAACTCTCCTCAGTCTGAAGAAGCTGCTGGGATGAGGAGCGAAAACGTTTCCACCTAACAAGAAAGAAGTCCAGTGGCCATGACTCAGTTTCCAGACAACCTCACCTGGATGACTTGAGAACCTTCACGTGTAGTTTGTTAGTCAAGGGAGCCACTGAGCATGCATAGAGTGTCTCCTTCTTCCCCTGGAGTCAAGGCCTTTTTCTCACACATTTGGGTTCTACCCAGAGGGCAGGGTTTCCTAGCAAGGAGATAAGCCCCCCTCAATTCAGCCCTGGTTAGGCCTTATCTAGAGTCCTGTGTCCAGTTCTGGACACCACACCTCGAGAAGGATGCCAACAAAAACTGGAGCAAGTTCAGAGAAGGTCAACAAAGGATGACCAGGGAGCCAGAAACACAAGTGACAGGAAGCCAGATTTTTGGCTGTATATCAGGAAAAACCTCTTTAACTGTTAGAGCAGTACAGCAAGGGAGCCCATGGCCTCAAGAGGAGGTGGTGAGCACTCCCAACGCTGGGGTCCACTCTCTCTCTCTGATCTCCTTGGATCTGGATTCCTGCCTTGAGTACAGGGTTGGACTGGATGACCTTCGAGGCCCCCTTCCCACTCCATGATTCCTTCCTTCCTTTTTTCCCAGGTTTCCTGAGGGATGTGACCGGGGATTACGTTGCCTCCTTCTTAGCTGCCGGTTCCTTCCTGGTGGCCGGCAGCTTCGTCCTGGTCACCATGCCCAACTTTTCTCACTGCCTCCGGCCTTCGGCTTTGCGAGAACCCGACATGAAAGCTGAGGCTGGCGAAGGTACTCCTTTGGCGACCGAGGGGCCTCTTCCCGTGGGGGTCATCGGTTCCGAAAACGGTCATCCTTACAAGGTCATTTCTGAAGCCGGGCTGGTGTCCTGATGGGGGTCAGGCTTGATTTCCTGGAGGAACCGAAGAGGGCAGCCGAGGAGGCCAAACCGGACAGAAAAAAAACCTTCACCTCGAAATATTTTGGGACCAATGGAACTGTCTCTCCGTGTGTGTGTGTGTGTCATGGTATGTGCGTGTATGTACGAAATGCTTTCTCTGACATGTAGCGTTAAGGAGGTGTTGATTAGAGTATTTACATCACTGTGCCTTAATCAAGATTCCAGTTTTTCCCCAAGCAATGCAGGAGAAGGACTGTTAACGATTTAGGTGGAACATAAACATTAACTTTTGGACGGTAAAAACAAAACCAGAAATATCTGTTATGTAGGTGGGAGCAGGCCGCGCTGGGTTAAACCTCAGCTCCCATCAGGCCCGAGGCATCCTCACTATTAACCAGGGGATGATGGGGGTGGTAGTGCCAAAAATAAATAAATAAATCTGGAAGGCCGCATGTCTTCCCATCCCAGGCTTGCTCCAAATTTTCCACGCTCCCGTTTGAAGCCGGGGTGGTCAAAGTGCAGCCAACCAGCTACCTTTTGGACTTTTAACCACAGACATCCCCCACCGTAGGCTGGAGGGCCCAGGGAGGAGGGTAACTGCAGCCGGACAGCGCTTAAGAAGGTTGCGCTGTGCCCAGCCGCGTTTTCATGATTTCTTGGGTTTTCTGAGTTTCCTGTGACTTCCTTGCCAAAAACAGGTGGGCAAGAGGATTATTCCCTTTGGGTAAGCAATAGGTTTCTACAATGGGGTGGGGAAGAAAATATGAGCCCCCCACTACCACCATCCCACCATCTTCTGTAGTGCCAATGTCCGATGCTGCTACACCCATACTCCTGATCCACATACCCTCTTGGCAATAAGTTGAGTGGAAAGGGTGAGTTTCTGTTTGCCCCTCAATCCCCACCACCACCTCCATGTTCCTCAGGTGGGAATCCTTGTTTCTCTGTGAGAAAGGGAAACCCATCCATCCTCGGCAGAGCCCCAGCCTCCCTTTGGGAGCCGAGCGCTCAACAAGGGAGCCGGCCAGAACTGGACGGCACGGAGGGCGAGTCCACCCGAAACAGCACGGGTCTCGCACCTGTCGGCCCTTTCTGCGCAGACAGCTGTTTGGGGGTGATGCAGAAAGCCATGCTCAGACTACAAGTCCCATAATCCTCCCTCTGGCATGGCCAGGGCTGTAGAGAACCTGCCAATTGTCACGGGGGGGAGGACCCGTTGGGAGCCCTGATTTTAAGAAGCACAGGGTGATTTGCACGGTGGTGTTCTTCTTGGTGGTTTACTCTCCTGGAGGGGCTTCAGACGCCTTTCTGCCAGAAGAGCCAGCCATCATGGCTGGTGGTCAAGGGATTCTGAGAACTGTAGTGCAGAAGCACCCCCCAAAAGACCTTATAACTCCCAGAACCGCAGGCGATCGGGACATGAAGTCTCTGAGCATCTTTAACTGCTGTAACTCCCCACCCCGGGGAACGTGGCTGCCGTGACGATGTGGATGTTTGCGTGGTGGTCTCTACCAGCATGCCAGGCGGTGGTCCCACCTCCGCCACGCTGCACGATAAAAGCCAGCCCTTATTGGCTGTGGCCCATCAGGGAAATTTCTTCTCAAAGCAACATGTAATCCATGATCTATGTCTGCCTTCCATCTAGGTGATTCTAGAGCGAAGCTGGACGAAATGGAGTCAAGTGCCGGACTGCACAACCCAGCGTTCACTGGCTAGGGCTGATGGGTGTTGTAGTATATGAATATCTGGAGAACTGCACTTTTGCTTACTTTTCCCCAGAACCTTAAAAGATCTACTTTTGGGGGGGACTGTGGCTTCTAGAATCTCTTAGTCATAAAAAAATAACATTTCCAGGTTTCTGTTCTTGATTTTATGCATATCTTCGGGTAAAAGCCTAACTTTTTAATTACTCTGTATTAAGTGTAGGGTCAGTGGACGTCCAGATCTGCAGGCTTTTAAGGATGGAAAGCCTCTTACTCTCCCTAAGGGGGCTGCCGGGGGACCCCCCCCACCTGTGTTGTGTAACACCACCCTTCTTCACTATCGTGAAAACCACCTTCTCCAAGGCTTTTACGTCTCTCCTTCTCCTCCACCACCACCCTGCCCAGACCACTGGAAAGGAAGGTTTAGCTGGAAAATCGAGCAGGGAAGACTTCCACAGGCCAGTATACGCCAGATGTCTGGGACTACAGCTCCCTGGGTGGCTGGAGATGATGGGCTTTGTAGTTGACACCGCAGAAAAGTGCTGAGCCAAAAGAGTCCTGAGCCGTGTGTTGGCATCAGCTTTTGAATCTCGTGTGTGTATGTGCGTTTTAAAATTTAGAATGGAAACTCGCTTCAGAACACTTAAGTTTTGACGGCCATGTGGTCTTCGGAAAACGTCTGTTACCACATCTCTTGCTTTTTATTCATCGATTTCCTAATTTTGACAATTTCTGAAATAAAAGTTACAAGAGCTCAGTGAGGAAATTGGTGCGATCTGTTGTCTGATTTCCTGGATGCCCTGGGGGTGTGTCTGTCATGATTCAGGGAGCCTTGATGCTGGAATTAAACCGGTAGTTCAAAACTTGCAGCTAACAAAAGAGGGTTTTGGTGCGAAGGTTTACTGGTTTTCAGTGGTTTCATTTCTGGACATCAGAGCGACGTCCATACTGGTAAATGTGTCTTTGCCACCACTATGGAAAATGGGTGCACTATGTTTGTTTATCTGGCGGGCACCTCATTGCAGATATTCCCAGGGATATATGTATCGTATAAATTGTTCTGATCTTTTATATTTTATTTTTGTCATCGGTCTGCGCCTAATTAGTGTAGAGACCGACGGACTCAATGGGCTTGGCATAGGCGTTAAGAACAACGTTTTGCTGGGTTTTGTTTTTAAAAAGACAGAGCAACTTACACTTAAAAAAGAAATGAAAAGATAAAATGCAGTACTATCAAGAGTTATAAGAGGTGATTTGCATCATCATAATTCATTTAATTGCAACTATTACATTCCTTTTAAAGACAGACAAAAATCCTGCTTGCTTTCCCCACCCGGATCCCGTATGATAAAGGTTGGTGTGATACTCAAAAACTTGTACTTTCCCTACTCCAACCACCTGTCCCTCTATCATTCATCCCTTTTGCACCCGCATGTCAACTAACATGTTTCCAAGCCAAGTAGGAAGATGAGAGAATAATCAGCAAAAATGGGGCTACTTGAGTGCAGGACAGTTTTTCTGTGACTGTGGAGAAATTCAATCCATGCAGCACTTCGGTACATGCAATTTATGCCCCAACATATGTCCCCCCCCCCAAAAAAAAGTACCAATGTAGCCAGTTGGGATTCCCAGTGTGGTGTAGTGGAAAGAGTGATGGGCTAGGATTACGGAGAACAGGGTTGGGAGAATTTGCTGGTGCGGGAGCTCGACACCCACAAATAGGTACCTTATTTGAGGGGGGTGGAAAGGACACCTGGGTGGTCTCTATGGCTCTCCCCACTTGCAGAATTGTGCTGGCTAATTCTGGATCAGAAATGTCACTCTGTGTATTCTCAAGAAGGTTTCTTATCCCCGTGTCCAGTTCTGGACACCGCATTTCAAGGAGGATGCTGACAATTTCGAATGAGTTCAGAGGAGGGCGACCAGGATGATGATCAGGAGATGGGAAACCAAGCCCTAGGAGGAAAGGCGGAAAGAATTGGGCATGTTTAGCCTTGAGAAAAGAAGGCCGAGGGGAGATCATAGGATAGCACTTTTCAAAGACTTGAAAGGCTGTCCTCCAGAGGAGGGGCAGTTTGTGTTCTCCGTCATCCCAGAGTGCGAGACATGTCATTATGAGCTCAAGTTGCAGGAGGTCAGATTTCGATTGAATATCAGAAAAAAACAGAGCAGTACGACAAGGGAACGCATGACCTCAAAGAGAGGTGGTGAGAACTTCAGCCCTGGAGGCCTTCAAGAGGAAATTGGACAACCCTCTGTCCGGTCTGCTTTGACTTGGGTTCCTGCCTTGATGAAGGGGGTTGGACTGGATGGCCTTCGAGGCCCCCTTCCCACATCATGATTCTAGGATCCCATGATTCTAACTCGCTGGCTGGGAAATTCTGGGTATTGTGGTCATCCAAAAAAGGTGAGATTCCAAACCCTTGATAGGGAGCCCCAGGATTCTTACAGGTTTGGAGACTGGACTTGAGAGCTTGGGTTTCTCAGTGTCCTGCTCAGCTTTTTTCTTTTTTTGGAAGGCTCCCATGGTTCTAGGACCCCATGATTCTAACTCGCTGGCTGCGAAATTCTGGGTCTTGTGGTCATTCAAAAAAGGTGAGATTCCAACCCCTTGATGGGGAGCCCCAGGATTCTTACAGGTTTCGGGACTGGACTTAAGAGCTTGGTAGACGAGAAGCGCTTTGGGTTTCTTGGTGTCCCGCTCAGCTTTTTTCTTTTTTTGGAAGGCTCCGAGTTTCTCGAGAGAAAGTGGTCACCCTTTTTTTTTTTTTTTTTTGTTTTTTCAGAGCGGACGTCAAGGACTCAAGGTGGACTTTGCTTTGAACCAGGTGGTGAGGCTGCCTTTGGCCCTTTGCCCTTCTGCCTGGCATTTCAGATTTGCCCTTTGGAACCTGTTTTTTCTCTCTCCCTTTCTCTGGGCAATTATATAAAAAACAAAAGGGGTGGGGAGAGCCCTGATCCTTCTAAGAGGGAAAGCTTGGAGCGAAAAGCATTGAGGCATAGGACATCTCCCACTGTAAAATTCCCAGTTTTTAAATCTCTCGTGAAAACAACTCCCGTTGCCAGATAGATCCCTGAAAAGCGGAGACACCATTTATATAAAGGAAACGGTCTCACACAAAACAGCGTTCATGGACTGGACACCATTGGGTTGGGTGGAACTACAAGCCCCACGATCCCTCTGGCCGGTGCTGGCTGGGGTTGATGGACCTTGTAGTCCAGTGACACAAGGAGGCCATGTTGTGGAGCACTGTGCCAGGCAGGCAGTCCTGGCTAAAAGTTTGTGGACCGGTATTTGCCTAAATGTGCTGCCATCTTTCTCCCCCCCCCCTTTAGCTTGAAGAGGCTTTGAGAGGGTTTTGCTGGGGAAACCTGGCCAGATCAAAGGAACATGGGCTTTGTTGAGTGGGCAGGAAAGTCAAAGCAGCGCCTGCTCAATGTCGGTGCCTCCGGAGATGTTTTTCAACTGGTTGCCTCAAGGTGAACGGGCGCCCTTTTGCAAAAATCCTGCATCGCTGAAGAAAGGAGGAGAGAGATTTTTGGATTTATTTCCCATTCTTGAGCTCCTTCCCTTTCCCCTAGAAGCCGGCTCCACCAGGCGGACGAGGAAGCCCCAGACGGGGTCAATGGTTAGCGCCCTGGACTAGACGTGGGAGGTCAGGAGGATCCCTTGAGCCGTGACGCTCTCGGGATGGCCGTGAACCCACCATGCCCTCTTTGTCTGCTTGGTCTACCTCGTAGGGTTGATGTGGAGCCAAAACGGGGAGGCAGAGACCCACGTCCACCCACCTGGAGCTGATGAGATGAAAGTCGGGAAAGGATTTCAAGCAACCCATCCGCCCTTACTGAGCAGCGCAGCTCCGCAGGATGACCTTGGGCCCCTTTCTCCTTGCCCTTTCTCCTTGCCCGCTCCACAGGGGCGTTTGGAAGACAAAAGCAATGGGAAGCCATCCCGAGTTCAGAAAGGAAATCCGGGGCCCTGGCTAGAGCTCAAACAGCAGATCTCGGAGTCCCAGGTTCAAATCTTGCCTCTGTCATGGAATCTCCAGGTGGATTTGGGACTCTCGATTTTCTTTCGCCTCCTGTCTTCAGGATATGCAACATGGGCAATGATAAGGAGCCACCTCATAGGGTTGTTGTCAACCATGCCATGTGCAGATGCTGAAAGTGCCGTTGTGTGCCATCCAGTTGCCTCGGACTTATGACGATCCTAGGCATGAGCCGTCTCCAAAACGCCCCGTCCTCAACAGCCCTGCTCAGTCTTTGCAAACTCAAGCCTGGGGCTTCCCTTCAGGAGTCGGTTCATCTCGTATTGGGTCTTCCTCTTTTCCTGCGGCCTTCCGCTTTTCCCAGCAGGAGGGCTGTTTCCTGGCTTCTCATGAGGTGCCCAAAGGAGGACAGCCTCCGTTCCATCGTGTCTGCCTCCAGAAAGAGTTCAGGCTTGATTTGATCTAAGACCCCCTTGTTGGTCTTTCTGAGAGTCGAGGGTATCTGTGAAGCTCTCCTCCAATACAGGTGCAACATAAGTGTAAAATGTTTATTTTCAGCTTTATCATAATCAATAAACGGCTGTAGCTTGGGGGGGGTGGATTTAAGTGGAACACAAATTGTCGTCATCCCCCCTTTTTTAAAACGAACTTTACTTTTTTGAAAAAGAACTTTTAGAGTCTGCTAGCTGCTGTTTGGAGGATTCTGGTTGTATTTAAATAGAGCAACTTTTCAGACTTTGTAAAGCAGGACCAGTCCAGTCCAGTCTAGTCCCCCTTCCCAGTTCTTTTACAGAAACAGGGAATAATTCACAGGGAGTTTTAGTTACTCCAATCCCCACAACCCAAAGGATTTATTGGGACCTGCTCCAGCAAGGGCACAGATCAAAGGAGGTGCCTTCTGAATTTGGCACAAGAGCTTCGCCACCTCTGGAACCACACAATGGGGAAAAGAAGAGAGGGTTTGAAGGTAGAAGGTGTTTTGGCAGCCTTCGGCAGCTCTTGGTTTTCTCTACATGCCGTAGTTAGCAAATCAATCAGACAAAACAAATTAGATCTAAATTAGAACCGTCCATCGAACCGTCTGAAAGCATGGCATGTCTCTTAAAGCTTTGCTTAAAAAAAAATCCTGCTCTTTCGCCTAAAAGTGTGTAAAAGCCACCCACTTAAGAGCAGCAAAACCAGAAAGTGCCTCTCCCTGACTGTTTACTGTTTTAGAAAATAGCCATAATTAAGAAGCAAATTAAGCTGTCACATTGCATTGCCACGCTATCCAATGAACGGCCTTTAAAAAGATATATCATGCCCATCCTCTTATAGCCCATTAGTTTAGCCCCCATGACAAAAGAAAAGACAGGACAAAATATGAATTTGTCAATTTCAATGCACCAGTTTAGATTTAATGCAATAAGTGAAAAGGTTTAGAGCTAGGAAATTTGAAAACTGAATATGGGGAACATCAATCCCTCGTCTCGTAACGAACTGACTCTTCATTTCCAGAGCTTAGACGAGTCACATTTTTCAATCACCCTAGAATTCCAGTTGTGGAGACCTTGAATGTTGAAATCCAGAAGTACACGTAACTTTTCCAAGAGCTGGTCATGTCACCTGTATGCCAGATCTGGTTCCCCCCCCACCCAGTGCCCCAGGAGAGCCGGGTTATGAAATCACTAGAGTGCCTCTGAGCTTCTGCAGAATGCCGCTTTGAACGGCCTTTAAAAGGATATATCATGCCCATCCTCTTACAGCCCATTAGTTTAGCTCCCATGAAAAAAGACAAGACAAAATATGAATTCGTCAGTTTCAACGCACCAATTTAGATTTAATGCAATAAGCGAAAAGGTTTAGAGTTAGGAAATTTGAAAACTGAATATGGGGAACATCAATCCCTCGTGTGGAAACGAACTGACTCTTCATTTCCAGAGCTTAGACGAGTCCCATTTTTCAATCACCCTAGAATTCCGGTTGTTGAGACCTTGAATGTTGAAATCCAGAAGTACATGTAACTTTTCCAAGAGCTGGTCATGTCACCTGTATGCCAGATCTGGTTCCCCCCCCACCCAGTGCCCCAGGAGAGCCGGGTTATGAAATCACTAGAGTGCCTCTGAGCTTCTGCAGAATGCCGCTCCTTTGCTTCCCCTGAAACCTTCAACCCAGTGTATACAGACCTCGCGACGATCAAGGAAAACCATTGCAGCGTGGCGAAGAATCAAGCTTGGCAGGCGGCAAGCGCCTCTTGGCTGAGAAGTAAAGAAGATTTAAGGACACCGACGGAGACTTTGTCCAGCTCGAGGTATTGCCTGGGATGCAGCCAGATTCTCTGCGGGATAACCCTCCGGAGCTGGGAAGGCAAGATTCCCAGTGCTCACCTGCCCAGTTAAGGAGTGTGTGCTCGGCTTCGCCCCCTAGTGGCAGGGGTTGAGTCTGAACTGATTCAGAAGGCAGGTAGAACCTGAACACAGAGCCGTCTCGTTCCAAAACCCTGCTGACCTATTCTACCCTCCCAAGTCTGATTTGTCCTATAGGAGAAGCCGTGGGGGTCAAGACACCCTGCAATATCCCGGCCACGGAGAGACTCATTTTTCCAAACCTCAAGAAGAGGGAAGACAGCACAGCCCGACGTCTCAGCTTTGTGCGGTGAGATAACGGTGTTCTGTATTAGCAGAGCTGATAAAAGTTCCTTTTTTGGGGCTACAACATCCAAAACTCCTGCGTCGAGCAGGATGGGTCATAGATTCTGAGGGTCTCCAAAAGATCCAGCCCACCCACCCCAAGGTTGGGTCACTGTCTTAATGTTTTTATTTGTCCTGCTCTTATACTTTGTTTTAGAAGTTTTTACTTTATGTATGTGGCTTTTAAAAGGGAAAGTCCTGCCCGGGGGGGGGTGTGCTTTTGCAGAGCGCAGAAAGGTCAGCAGCAAAAAAACGAGGGTCATCGTTGCGGGGTTAGTTTTTCTGCCCACTCAGCTTGACGGCCAAATAAAGAAACTTGTGGGGTTCGAAAGACTCGGAAGTCTTGTTATGGCACCATTTGGTCACCTTTTAGGGCGCTAGCGGGTTCTGTGTTCACTGAGTTGGTGATCTATTTAAAAAGCAGCTTTCTTTCAAAGCGGGATGCCTAGTTTCCAGAGGCGGGTGAATTTCTGCTTGGGAAGTAAGAGTCCCATCATCCCCCAGACTAGCTGCGCTAGTCCGGAAAGTGTTGTCCGGGTTGTTCACTAACCCTTTTTTTCTTGCTAAAGACAGAAACCTAAAAGCTATGGATCACCTAAAAATAGAACAATTTTCATAACAAGTTCTGGCTTCCTGGACAAGCCAGTTCAAAGCACAGGAAAGCCCGTGAAAAATAAAAAAGGATCTCTTTGCCTCGTTTCTGATTCTAAGAAGGCAAAGGTGGTCCGGTTGCTGAGGAGGAGATCCGAGGGTCTTCTCCGAGGGACATGTTTGGCTAGCCACAATCAGAGCCCAGAAAAGCTGCTTTGGGAGGGAACTACAACACCCAGAATCCATTCAGCAGTGAGGCGATGAGACAAACTGTGTTCTCATCTGGATAGCTCTGGGGTTAGAGGTTGGGAGTTCGATTCCCCCAAGGTGGGAACTCAAGGATCATAGGGACCCTTCTAGCTCTGCAGTTCTATTATTATTATTATTATTATTATTATTATTATTATTATTATTATTATTATTATTATTATTATTATTATTATTATTATTATTATTATTATTATTATTATTATTATTATTATTATTATTATTATTATTATTATTATTATTATTATTATTATTATTATTATTATTATTATTATTATTATTATTATTATTATTCCATAGCTACTCAGTTAATTGGGCCTTAATGAACACCTGATTACAGAAAACTTCCTAACATGGGGAGCCGTTCGACCATGCTACGGGGCTGCCTCAGAGTGTGATAGACTCACCTTTCCTAGCGGTTTTTAAACGAGGTTTGTGGCCCTACCTGTCAGGGATGTTTTTCCCAGCTGGGGGGGGAGTGTGTGGAACAGAAGACGCCGAGACCCTCTTCCGGCTCTACCGTTTTGTGCTTCTGGGATGACTTGTTTTCTTTCCGCTGCTCAAATATTTCTTTCCTGTGAAAAACGCACCAGGTTTCATGGCTCCTCGCGAAGACCTGCCAGCCCCGGACGGCGGATGGGGCTGGATGGTGGTCCTGGCCGCCTTCATCCAGAGCGCTTTGGTTTTTGGGGTGATCCGCTCTTCAGGCGTCTTCTTCGTGGAATTCGTGGCTCATTTCCAGGCGTCGTCCGGCGCGGTCTCCTGGGTCATGGCGCTCGGGGTCACCGTCCTGCAGTTTGGAAGTAAGGGAAGGAACCATCCTGGTGACATTTCTAGCCAGCGATGCTTGAAGGGCTGAATAAATGGCACCAGTTAACCTCACTTGTTCACCCCGGATCCTGGCAGGTCCTTTCTCCTCCCACGAACCTGCACAGATCTGTGCAGAGAGGCGATGAAACCAGATCAGGCATTTAATGCACCGCAGGCGTCATAAAAGTTAAAGAGTAATTTAGATTCTTGGATCTACACACCAAGAGAAATCAGGTTCCAGCATTTCTTCTTTTTAAAAAAACCACATTTTAAAAATGGAAAGTAGATTCTTTCTACGAAAGCAGTCTCAGCTTGATGTGATTATGTGAATGCCAATTCTATTAGCGACATGATGGTGTCTGGCTTCCAAATAAGGGAGGGATACGTATCATCAGTCCAGCGGCTTGCAAGTTTAAAGGTTACTGAGTTTAAAGCAATAATGTATGATTCACATCTGTTACATAACTTGATTAAGAATACATGCTTTGCATGAACTGAGCTGCAGAGTTCATCAGGTCCCCTGACAGCTTAAGCGATACCGCGTCATTAGTGCAATCCCATTGACATATCTGGAGAAAGTGGGCCTTTGTGCCTTGGCAAATCTTGGTTTTTCAGCCCCCCCCAAAAAAATTCCCCTTCCTTGATCCAGCAGTTCTGTTTTCCTGCAAAGCCTAGCCCATTGATTTTAATTGAGAAGTATGTAGTGTTAATTAACCAAACTGGGGCACCTGAGGTCTTGTTAGGGTCTCTGTCTTGTTTAGCAGCTCAGGTCGTGCAAAGCTGGTATGGTGTTGCAAAGTGTGACTCTCATCTAATCCCGCTCTGCTGCTCCTCACAGGCCCCGTGGGCAGTGCCCTCAGCGCCAACTACGGGACTCGCCCGGTCGTGATGGTTGGAGGTTTCCTGGCCGGGCTTGGCTTCCTGGGGGCTTCTTTTTCCGCCACCCTCACTCACCTGTACCTGAGCATCGGCCTGGTCACAGGTACCTCCTGGTTCCATTTGAAATCCTATCTCCAGGATTTGAAAAACAAGGATTGAAGATGGGACCTAGAAAGGTGTTGTTCTTAGATGCCAGCCTGAGGAGGAAAGCTGGTTTTCTCGAGAGCGACAGGGGAAGGTGTGAACCTTCGCTCCCTCCCTCCCTTGGGTTCTCCCGGGCTAAAAGATTTGCATCCCCTCTGAGGGGGCGCAGGCTCGAAAGCAGGACAGTGTTTAAATTGTGGAACAAAAGCGGAACCGAGAAGAGTAATCCTGAGGGGTTAAACCCAGGGGGAGGAGAAAAGGAGTAACAGGTATATTTCCCTCCCAAGCCTACAAAGGCTTGGCTTGTGTGGCAAAGCCATGAAGAGGAGGAGGAGAACAGGGGCTAAATTGTCTGTGCACCCATGGGTCTCTAAATCGGGATTTTATACGGTGACGCCTGGGGTCATTGGGAGCATGGGCATGCGCTCATGCAATTGAGCAAATGAGGAAAAGAGGAAGAGCATGCCATTTATTTTATTTTATTATTTTATTACAGAGGACAGCTTAGAAAAGTTACTTTTCTAGGAACTATAGCTTCCAGAATACCTTAGCTATTTTATTTATGTACATATTTATTTAAAATATTTTAACCACACCTTTCTCCTCAAAAAGGACCTCAGAGGGGCTTCACCCCTGGCCACTGACTACACAGGTTGCAATACTCTGGGGTTTTTATTTTTATTATGATGATGATTAACTTCTCTCTGGCTAGAAGATGGGGTAAGGTTCTCCCTGGAGTCTGTAGGAGGCCATATGGGTGCTGTTGGGCTTCAAGACCCAGCCGGTGGCCTCTGGAGGACCCCAAAGAGAATCCCACAAGCTGATGTTGTCTCTAAAGATTTCAGACCACAACTCCCATTATCCCCTGCCATGTTGGTTGGGGGATGATGGAGCTTGTGTTCCAACATTCCTAAGGGTTGTCAGGTAGGGTGGAAGACGGCCACCCTGTCTCTCAGACAGGGAACCACCACTGAAGGTCGATATATTTCGAATCAGATGGGGGGGGGGTGCCATCCTTTAAGGCTCTGCTAACAAATACGGACGAGGCCATCAGAAACAGAACTTCTGCAAAAGGACCCAAATCAGTCGATATCCAAACCCTTGTGTACAGATAGACATCGCTCAGCTTAAAGCATGCTGGTGTTCCGGAGATGGGATTCCAGCAGATCTTCCTCCTTGAGAAATCAGACTTGCAAATGAATTGCAAATTGTGTGTCTGGAAGACCAATCACAGAGCAGAACCAAGCGAGGTCATTTGCAAACTACCAGAGGTGAGGAAAAGCGCTTGCTGCCAGGACCATCACACACCATCAGCCTATCCAGAGTTTCCTCCTCTGGCGATGGGTGATGGATAAGGTGTTATTTCATCCTGACCCTGCAAGATGCAAATTTGCCTTTCCTGCATGTCGGTGTCTTTTGCAAGCAGGAGGAAAAGCCATCTGCCACATGCCGAAAGAAAAGAGCATCGCATATTCTTTCTAGGGTGATAGGCTCATGGTGGATTGACCGTCCCCGCTGCCAAACCTCACCGCCTCTTTCCCTTCCTTCGTCCCACCCCCCAGGGCTAGGCTGGGCGCTGGTCTTCACCCCATCCATGGCCGCCGTGTCCCGTTACTTCGAGAAGCGGCGGGCACTCGCCATGGGGTTGGCTGTTTCCGGAGCCGGCATCTCCTCCCTGGTCTTCTCCCCGCTCTTCCAGTGCTTGGTCGACGTGTACGGCTGGCGAGGGGCCCTCCTGATGGTGGCTGGGATGTCTCTGAACCTGATGGTGTCGGGGGCTCTCCTACGGCCCTTGGCTGCGGAAGGGGACCGAGGTGGATCAGAGGAGGCCCCGGGTTCCAGCTGGCCGGGGACGCTGGCCTCTCTCTTTGCCCTCGAGCTGCTGAGGCAGGGCCCTTTCCTGCGTTACATCGTGGTCTGCATCCTGGTTGATGTCGGGTATTTCGTCCCCTACGCCCACCTGGTGGCTCACGCGAGGGAAGTGGGATGTGACGAGTACGAAGCTGCCTTCATCATGGCTTCTGCTGCAGTGACAGACATGGCTGGGCGGATCTTTGCCGGTTGGCTGGCAGATGCTGGGCTCCCCGGCCGCCTCGTCCACCATCTCACCCTCTGGACGGTCTTGACGGGCATTTCGTTGGCTCTGCTCCCGCTGGGGCGTGGATTTTCCTCCCTCCTGGCCCTCGGCCTTTGGTACGGGTTCGTTGCCGGTGGATTGGTCCCGCTTCAGTTCACCAGCCTGGTGGAGATCGTGGGCACCGGCTACGTGCTTGGTGCCATCGGGCTCATGAATATGCTGGAAAGCGTGGGGGCGTTGCTGGGGACCCCCCTCTCAGGTAAAGGCTGTGGCGACAGACGTTCTCCTTTTGGGCGATCCGTTCCCCGAATTCCTCAGCCAGCTTCGTCCTCCGAGCCTCTTGGCCAGGGCAGTTCGAGGGATTACCACCCAAAAACAGGAGAAAATCCCCAAATTTCTTAGTAGTGGTGGTGCACTGTTGCGCTCCTTGGAAGTGGAACACACGTGCATATAATGTCCCTGCAGGCACATAGTTATCATATATGGTTGCCCAATAGCACTGTTTGGCATGGGGAAAATAACCTTTTCTGCTCATCTGTGCAGATGTTCAGTCCTCCAGATGTGGTTATCTGGAAGTTGAGTCACGGCAACTGGACTTCTTTCTTGTTAGGTTGAAAAGTTTTGCAACTCAGCCTTTGTCCTTCAAATGACCATCTCATTGGATAACGAAGTGTACTCATTTTAGACTGAGGAGATAGATGGTTTGGGGGGGGGTCAGGGAGGCCATACATGTGCATATAGAAAACCCCTCACCCAACAGGGGTGGGAGCCTTAGATACAATCTCTCTCCTATTTATCATGTTGCCCTTTCATCCCTCCCCAGAAGGATTAGGCCCGAAACACCAGAAAGACCATTGTTAATGACCATTAACGACCCATGACAATGGGTGGAGGAGGACTGCAAAGGTGGGATTATCCCTCACCCCCAGAGTCCTTTGTCCTTCTAACGAGCCTATTCACACCAGGGGGAAGTGAAACTAATGGGGAGGATAGATCAAGGATCTCCTACCAACTCTCCTCAGTCTGAAGAAGCTGCTCGGATGGGTAGCGAAAACGTTTCAGCCTAAGAAGAAATAAATCCAGTTGCCAGGACTCAACTTCCAGATATACTCGTCTGATTATGTTCCTACTTAAAACAATCTGTCGTCCCCCTTTAAGAGCTGGCCCGTATCTTTCCGGCACAGAACTAGGGCATGCAGTCTCTTTGAGACAATTCCTCGAGATGCAAAATAGCCCTTTATCCCTGCTTTGCAGACCGGTACCAAGCATTAAAATCGATTTCACAGGAGATAAGGAAGGACCTGTTAAGCACTTGCTGGATTCCACCAAATTTCACAGTCCAGGCCCTACATGGAATATTAGGTGAATATCTGTCCCATATCCGTAAGTGGAACACAGCAACGGCCACGGTTTGGAAAGAGACTCTGCCCTGCAAATACCACCGCATATTCCCAACCTGCAAATCTGTGACTGCCAGTCAGAGCTGGGAGCTCTGGGTTGGAAGGATCAAGCGTCTGACCCAACATAAGGCAGTTCCTACTGTTGGAGAAGAAGCAAGATGGCCTCACGAGAACCACATTGGCTTGTGGATCTTGCCGTTTGGAGATGCCAAAGATTCGCTTGAACATCCTCTCCACCTGTGTAAGCAAACCGCAGCCAGAGTTCGTTCTAAGTGACCGAATTTGTTGAAATCAAAGACAGCCCTGTGCTCATGACACGGTACAAATGCAGAAGTAGGAGATACCTTTGAAGACCATTAGAGAAATCCTACAATCTGCTAGCTTCCAGGGGTCAGAAGAACCCACTTCTTCAAGCTTGCACTGGTGCTTTGCAGCGAATACCGAGAACAAATTAAATTCAACCTTGTCAGATAGAAACATGTACCATATTTTTCAGTGTACAGTGGTGCCCTGCTTGACGATGATCTTGTTATACAACGAAATTGCTTGACGATGATGTTTTTGCGATCGCAAAACGATGATTCTATGGGCGATTTTCATTTGACGACGATCGTTTTTGCTTAACAATGATCAAAAACAGCTGATCGTTGGGTTTTCAAAATGGCCACCAGCTGTGCAAAATGGCTCCCTGCTGTGTTCAGGACGGATTCTTCACTAGACAGGCACCGAAAAATGGCCGCCCTATGGAGGATCTTCGCTGGACGGTGAGGTATTTCCCCCATTGGAACGTATTGACCGGTTTTCAATGCATTTCAATGGGTTCCCCCCCTGCTCTAGATTTCGCTCTACAGTGATTTTGCTGGAACGTATTATCGTCGTCAAGCGGGGCACCACTGTATAAGGCTATACTTTTGTCTAAAATCTTTAGACTAAAAATTGAGGGTTGTCTTTTACACGGAAGTAAGCTGAGGAGAGAACAAAAACAAGTGGAGGGGAAAGCAGGGATCAAAACGATCCTGCAGTGCTTTGATCCCTTTCTCCCTGCACTTGCTAAACCCCACTTAGATTTCTTAATTTTGGATTAGAAAAGTGGGGGGTGTCTTATACATGGGGGCATATACATGGAAAAATACGGGTAGTTTTTTAAAACAAGACCAAACAGGAAGAGGAGTGTGTATACCTGACCTGTTTTGTTTGAAGAAGAACTGGTGTGTGTAAAAGCCACAGCTCCAGTGCAGCCGATATCCGTCCTTACTGAGAAAAAGACAGGGGGAAAGACTTGACAAAATCCAGCTGCCATGAACATTTGGGACTTTTAATTTCTTTGCACTACAGATAAAACAGTGGTGCAAGCCAGATGAGGTGGCGGCGGGGGGTTTGGTCCCGATCCACCAAGGCTAGCCGATTGTATGATTCCTTTAGTGGGTCTGTCTGTAAAGGTCTCACCGACTCCTGCCTTTGTAACCGGGTTTCATACAAACGGAGGTCAAGAATTTTGCACCATGCTGTGATGCAGACCCGACTTGTTGAACCCTTTCATGGAGTTAACCGTGGTCTCTTCCCTTCCAGGTTGGCTGAGGGACCTCACAGGGACTTACACGCTCTCGTTTGTCACGGCCGGAGCGTTTCTCTTGGCTGGCGGCTTGGTCCTGGCCACCTTACCCAACTACTTTTCCTGCCGCGCCAGGCCCTTGGCCACGCCGACGGAGGGCTCCCGGCCACCTCCAGGCCACCAGGCTTGTGAGCCAAGAATTTAACTCTTCTTCTCCGACCGAAAGGAAGACGTTGTCAGAGGCGGGTCCGCCGGTCCTAGGAGGCACACATCCCAGAGGCTGGTTAGCACAAGGAGGTCTCTTTTTTCCTCCTTAATTCTTCCTGAAGAAAGCGAACGGGAGATGAAGAACCGAAACGTGACTGGACAGAGCCCTAAAGAGGCATTTGGGCACCTCCGGGGCAAACAGCTTCGTTTCTGGCCCATTCTGCCCTCAGAGGCTTGCACAAGCCTTCACCAAGTGAAAGGAGGAACAGAATGTGGTGCCCACTAAATGAAAATTTTAAAATGTATGCTTTTAACAATAGCAGCAGCAAGAGTAAAGGACCAGGGGATAAGGCTAAGACAGGACGGCTGCTTTTTTTCCTTACCACTCACTATTAAATTCATGTCTGGATCTTTGAGTTCTCTGACATTTGGCATCTTTTAACGCCATAAGGATTTACCCAATCCTTGTATCGGTCCCAACCACCATTGCATCTTGTAGCAGCGAGTTCTGCTGGCCAACAGCATGCGGTGCAAAGAAGTGTTTCCTGTTTACCTGCCTTGATTTTTCCCCGTGAATACAAGCCAAGTCTTGGTTACTGGGTCACCCTTTGGTTTTGTGTCGTTGACGTCGTTCTATGTTTGTTAGAGATAAGGGGGTGAGAAGGTTGGCAGGCAGGATGTGGGAAACTGCCCCAAAAGACAGAAAATGGAGCAGACGCTAAATTTTTAGTAGGACTTTAGTAGGATTTTCTTGTTTGACTACAAGTTCCAGAATGCAGGGGTCAATGGTGGGAAAGTTGGAGTCCCCACCTCCCCACAAATCAAATCAAATCTAAGTGGTGACGCTGCAAATTTACCCCGCCCTTAGGTGCTACGTTGTGCCGTGGCCTCTAGCTATTATGGAACTTATGGCCTATTGACCTATTTCCAGGTTATAGGTAACCACAGATAACCGGTAACCTACGAGGGCAGCAAGCCGGAATAATAAATAAATTCACTTTTCAGGCGGGACAGCTTGTCCCAGTTTCTGTCACTGGCTGTTCTGGGCCAAGGATAATTTCTGTATATATAAAAAAGATATTATTAAGGAGCAATTTGGGAATTTTTGCAGACCAGATGGAAGAGCCCCTAAGGGCGATTGTGCTAAGAAAATCCTTTCTCACTGGGGATCATAGGGATCCTAATGGACCAAGTATTTTCCTTCTTCTTTTCAAATTTAAATGGTTATTGACACACCAATGACGTATCACTATATTTGTTTATTTAAAATATTTTAACCCCCGCCTTGCTCCTTAACTGGACCCAAGGTGGCTTATATCATGAAAAAGACAATTATTTCAGCTGAAAACAGGAAGTATATCAATATTTTAAAAGAACGAAACAAGAGGAAAAATTTAAAACGGCAAATATAACCAATTTTAAAAACACACTTTAAAGCAACAATCCCTTTTTTAAAAACCCCACAAAAATCCCTCACAGGCCACCTGTTTAAATGGCACCTGAGGTTGCTTAACTGTTGGGACACCGGGTTCAACAATCCTCGGAGGTATGTCCAAAGGACTGCCCGTCTCCAGGTTACACCCACTCGCACACCTCCCTGCAGACTTTGGCCTTCAGATTGTGTGATAAGAACAGGTGGAAAGGTGAACCCACAATTTCTTGTGATCCACCGCCGGCACGCAGGCACCTACGGCGTGGAGAAAGGGTCCGAAAGCTGACAAGCCTTGAGACAAATGGGATAGGGCTGGCTCGCTCTTTGTGAGTGGTTTCACACGGTCTTTCTCCGAGTCTGCGGCCATGCTGGGAATGAACCTCTTTGGATACCGAGAATGCAGCTGATTCTGGGAGCGGGCAGGGCAAAAATCGCACCCGGGCCCGGGTCGGAAGCTTGCCGTGTGACCCTGACTTACAGGGGGAGCCCCTAGACTGGAGCAGCATGAGCCCACAAATATATTCGGAGCCCCCCGATGGGGGCTGGGGCTGGATGATTGCTTTGGCGGCTTTTATACAGCTAGCCCTGAGTTTCGGGGTGGTCCGGTCTTTCGGGGTCTTCTTCGTGGAGTTCCTCACATATTTCGAAGAGCCCTCCAGCGCGACCTCGTGGGTCAGTTCCATTACAGTAGCTGTGCTGATGTTTAGCAGTAAGTACCAGATCTATCGATCGATCGATCTCTGTCTGTCTGTCTGTCTGTCTGTCTGTCTGTCTGTCTGTCTGTCTGTCTGTTTCCCCGAAAATAACACCTCACCTGAAAATATGCCCTAGTATGATTTTTCAGGATGCTCGTAATATAAGCCCTACTGTCGGCAGGAATGTTATCATAATCTTCCCAGGACTCCCACACCCTACCCCAAAATAAGCCCTAGTTAAGTGTCGGCAGAAGTGTTATCATAATCTTCCCAGGACTTCCATATCCTACCCCAAAATAAGCCCTAGTTAAGTGAAGCCCGCCTTCCACCCTTGTGCAGCAACCAGAAGATGATGGCATGACGGTAATTGAATAAACATAGATTGTACAAGAAAAAAATGAAGCATCCCCTGAAAATAAGCCCTAATGCATTTTTTTTGGAGCAAAAATTAATATAAGACCCCGTATATACAGAGTGATCAATTGATCAGGTCAGATTTTATTGATTATATATATATTTCCCCCCCCTAGCATTTTAATTCAAACTTAGCTACACTTAACCTGTTGAAATTAATAAGCTGAATCAGGTCCAACTTTCATACATTTATAGTTTGGTCAAAATAAGGCCGTTGATCTGGGGGAGAAAAGTCTTTCTCCATTTCATCCTTAAAAGCTACGGTAAGGTCAACTTATCTGACTCCGAGCTAATTTGAAGAGAACCTTTGTTCTCCTTAAAGAACCCTAATTCTCTACTGATACGGCAGCTATTTTTCCTGCCTTCCATACAACATTCTTCTTATTTCCAGGAAAAGAGTCCTTTCTTCCATGACTTCCCTTTTCCTTTTTTTGTCTGTCCTGGAAGCAGGGTTTATTTCTTGCATCTCCTTGTTCCGGGGCCGGAGTGAGCATGGTGGTGTTCCCCATTTGAATTAGGCAGGTAGTGGAAGCCTTGGGTCAGAAGCCCTGTCAGTCGCTCCCTCAAGGCGTTCTTGGACTACGATTCCCAGAAGGCCTGGCCAGCACCGCTAGTGGCGAAAGCTTTCGTTTTAGTCCAAGAACACCAGGGTGTGCCAAGATCGGGAACCGCTGCTCTAAGGACACACTCAGAAAAGTACGTGGAGGAAAAAAAACACTGCTCCAGAAGAGATGCTCAACAAAAAATGGCGTTCTTAATTTTTTTAAAAAGGTTAAAAATCTCCTAAAGAGAAGGTATTTTCTCAAAGAGATGGGAAGAGATGCTTTTTGAAGCAACATTTGGATGGAAATCTGGATTAACCTTCCAGTTTGCAATCAAGCATGGCAAACTTAGGTGGGCGTGTGGAACTTGGAATCTGGAAGACCGACCGCCCCCCATTCATTCATTCATTCATTCATTCATTCATTCATTCATTCATTCATTCATTCATACTCCGCCTTTCTCCTGAGAAAAAGGAGGGAAGACGGCTTACACCCTTGAAAGACAATACTTAAGAACAAAACGAGGAGTATATATACCAAGGTGGCGTTATGTCATTAAAAGGCGACATTTAAAGCTAAAAACACTTAAGTATAGAAATATTTTTAAAAGGAACGAACAGACACCACTCGGAGAAATGGGAAACACAAGCAATACTAAAACGCAGCCGAAGCCATCCGGCACTGAGGGGGAAAGCTTGGCTGAAGAGAGGGGGCCGTTCGGTTGGCCTCCCTTCTCCATCGCTGTCCCTAAGCGTGCTTGATCCTCCTCTTCCGTTGTTCTCTTCCACAACCACCTCACAAGGTGGGTAAAGGCCTGACGGCTCACCCAGTGCCTTTCAAACCCCAACGGGAGGGGGGGAATTCGAACCTGGGTCCCTCAGGTCCCAATCCATTCCCATCACCGCCGTATCACTGACTTAACCGGCTCTGCCTTTCCTTCACAGGTCCACTGGCAAGCGCCCTCGGGACACAATACGGCGAACGGCCCGTTGCCATGGTCGGCGGCGTCTTCTCCACCTGCGGTTACCTGTTGGCTTCCTTTGCCACCAGCCTGGTTCAGCTCTGCCTGTTCATTGGGGTGCTCACAGGTAGGGGCAAGTGCTTTGGGGTGATTGTTCGTTTATTCGTTCAATCGATCCATTGATATTTCCATTTCTATTCCGCCCCATCACACTGCCACTCTCTGGGTGATTAACCACTCAGCATTTCGTGAACGGGCAGCACTTTTCTCATGGGGCACAGAGAAGCCATTTGGCAAGCCCACAGCCCTCGATTTCGGATGTCAATTTAAAAAAAAACAGTGGGCTCGTCCATTATGCACCATGTTAGACTCCAATGTTTTTTTTTAAAGAACACAACCTAGGGAACTGAAATATATTTTTTTCCTGTCTTGATTAGCAATAGAGGTGGGCATGAAACACTGCTTCGGCGTTTCGTTTACCGGCCAAACAGGAGTTTCTAGTTTCAAAGCCCTGCCTCCTCTGGCAGGTGCCCAATCAGGGGCAGCTCTCAGAGGAGGCAGGGCAGGGAAGCCAGTCTGTTGCCTCCGAGGGGGTGCCCACCAGAGGAGGCAGGGCTTTGAAGCACCAAACATCCGTTCGACTAATAAACAAATACACAACAGTAGGTCCATGGTATGATGCAGTGGACAGAGTGACGGACAAAGCCCAGTTCGAATCCTTGTTCAGCTGCCAAAACTCACTGGGACGTGCCACAGACGAACCACACCTTGAACACCCCCTATACCTTCAAAAACCGATTGAAGCGGCTTTTAGCCCAAAGTGGCATGAAAGCGCATGATGGTTGCACAACCGAGTCAACACTTCCATAGATTTTTGGATCCAAGCGTCTCTCCCCTTGTGAGGATGAGTTGTGGGTCTTTTTGCTTCTATCCGGGGGGGGGGGGGGAGACCTTCCTCCTTTAATAAAGGGATGGAAGGGACATACAGTAAGACGGGGGAAGCTATGATGTTTTTATATACTGTGCAGATTTAGGAGGTGTCCCACGTGGGGCTGTTTCTCTGTCTTTCCTTCAGGTCTGGGCGGAGCGCTCCTCTACTCCCCTTCCATGTCCTTGGTCACTCGGTATTTTAACCGACGGCGCGCTATGGCCCACTTTGTGGTGTTCTCCGGCGCCGGCATAGCATCGTTGGCTTTCCCGCCGCTCTTCCAGTTCCTGGTGGACTCCTACGGCTGGCGTGGTGGGCTCTTGGTCCTTTCCGGCATCTCCTCCCACCTGGTGGTCTGCGGGGCCCTCCTGCGCCCACTGAACGTTGCCGCAACGGGCGCCGTGCCGTCTCCGGAAGAGGAGAGCCGAGGGAAGAGGCTGGCCTCTCTCTTAGGGTTGAAGTTGCTCTGCCACTGGGATTTCATGGTCTTCAGTGGGGCAGGGTTCCTGATGGCTCTGGGGTACTTCATCCCCGTTGCCCACTTGCTCCCCCACGCCAGAGAAACGGGCTTTGACGAATACCAAGCCGCCTTCCTGGTCTCTGCCGTCGGGGTGGCCGACATTGTGGGGCGCATCCTCGGCGGCTGGCTGGCCAGCTGCACTTCCTTGACCCTCATCCACCAACTCACCCTCTGGACCCTCCTGACCGGCATTTCTTTGCTGGCGATTCCTCTGGCACGCAGCTACGGGGTGATGCTGGCCGTCAGCATCTGCTATGGGTTCCTGGGAAGCTCGATCCTCCCCCTCCGATTCTCCAGCTTGGCAGACATTGTGGGTCCCGACAAGATCATGGGGGCCATCGGGCTCCTCCAGGTGATGGCAAGCAGTGGGGCTTTGGCTGGCCCCCCATTCTCCGGTAAGAAAGTGGGGGGAAAGTGGTGTCATTTCTACTGGAACCTTTGGTCCTTTGTTGTTGTTGTTGTTTAGTCATTAAGTCGTGTCTGACTCTTTGTGACCCCATGGACCAGAGCACATCAGGTCCTCCTGTCTTCGACTGCCTCCCGGAGTTGGGTCAAATCCATGTTGGTTGCTTCAATGACCCTGTCCATCCATCTCATCCTCTGTCATCCGCTTCTCCTCTTGCCATCACACTTTCCCAACATCAGGGTCTTTTCCAGGGAGTCTTCTCTTCTCATGAGATGGCCAAAGAATTGAAGCCTCAGCTTCAGGATCTGTCCTTCCAGGGAGCACTCAGGGTTGATTTCCTTCAGAATGGATAGGTTTGTTCTCCTTGCAGTCCAGGGGACTCTCAAGAGCCTCCTCCAGCACCATAGTTCAAAAGCATCAATTCTTTGGTGATCAGCCTTCTTTATGGTCCAGCTCTCATTTCCATAAATCACTACTGGAAAAACCATAGGTCCTTACGTCTTCATTATTTGAGATGTTTTTTCATATGGTATCTGTCTGATGCTTTTGCACTTGTATGTTCACCATTTTAGTGTTAAATACTCTCTTTTAAAAATGTACGTCTTGGGTCTTTTTTAAGGAGAAAAGTGAGGTAAAAATTTACCTACCTACCTACATATATACATACAAACTGAATATCAGGGAAAAACTTCTCAACTGTTCGAGCAGTACGACAGTGGAACCCATTACCTTGGGAGGTGTTGAGTGCTTCAACACTGGAGGCACTCAAGAGAAAATTGGACAATTATCTTTCAGATCTCCTTTGATCTGTATGCCTTCATTGAGCAGGGGGTTGGACTGGATGGCCTCGGAGGCCCCCTTCCCGCTCCATCATTCTAGGATAATAAATAAATAAGTATTTTCACAACGGGCCACGTTCCTCTCTGTTCTGTTCCTGTACAAATGTCTGTCTATGGAGACGACACTCTGCCCCTCAGGAGAAGCAGGGCGGAAGATCATGGAAGTTTCCTTTGCAAGAAGGAATCCGGTTAATTTTCTGGAGGCCGTTTGGAAGAGGTGTTGAGAGTCCCTGCTCCTCAGCACACGGCAGCAGGCTAGGATTGAGCTTCTGGATGTGAAAAAGGACTCGCTCGTCTGGAAATTCCTGCTCTGGTAGAAGTAGAAAACATGGTGTTGCTGCAAGGAATCCTTTTAGTGATAGTGCAGGAGAAAGAGCCCCAAACTTAGTTAGAGAAGCCCTTGGAGCTGGCTTCCCTGGGAAGGGGAGGCCACAATCTAGATATGACCTAAGAGCTAATTAGGAAAAATAAGAGGAGACAAAAGGCTGGATCTCATCTGGTTCGCACCCCATCCTGGCAACAGCATCTTCGGTTCTGGTTACTGGTTACACTCACTCATTGATGCTTTTTAAAATTCCAACAAGGAACTTCTGGGAGAAGCATTTCTGTGTCAGGATGAGGGCCTGCTGAATGGAGATGGCCACAGACAGAATAAACAGAAGGAGAACTAATTAGAGCTTAGTAAAGATGACCTTGAAGAAGGCTGAGAGACTCAAACACGAGGAGCATTTTATACCGAAATACAGAGAGCATTATGTTGTTTACATCCTGGGACCACCGTTTCCTCCTTTTTTTGACTGCCTAGCTCTCCAGATTAAGCCAGACTAAAATGTCCATCATCCCTAGCCAGTAAAGCCCATGTTTAGGAATTATGGATGTTGTAGTCCAGCACTCCTTGGAGAAGCACAGATCCCTGAACTGAGGCTACAGATGATTCCCTCTCTCCACCATCGAGGTCCAGATGCACTTTAATGCTTTCTTTCAGTTCCCATGCTGGCCGGGGGGGGGGGATGATGGGAACTTTTGTCCAACAATGTAAATTTACTGTATTTTCCGTATATAAGACACCCCATGTATAAAATGCCCCCCACACACTTTTCTAATCCAAAATTAAGAAATCTAAGTGGGGCTTAGCAAGTGCAGGGGGAAAGGGATCAAAGCGCTGCAGGATCGCTTTGATCGCTGCTTTCCCCTCCACTTGTTTTTGTTCTCTCCTCAGCTTACTTCCGTGTATAAGACGACCCTCAATTTTTAGTCTAAAGATTTTAGACAAACGTATAGTCTTTTACATGGAAAAATACAGTACTTGGTTCTGGTTCTATCTTTGTTATACCGCCCTTTCCAAATGGAGGCTTAACTCATGGCATCGGGAATTTTCTCTCTCTTTTTTCCCCCTCAGGCTGGATCCGGGATGTGACAGGAAGCTACGACGCCTCTTTCTTCACCTCTGGCTCCTTCTTCATCGCCGGAAGCTTGACACATTTCTTGCTGCACGACTTCTTCTCCTGCCGTCACCCCCGCATTGCGCCCAAACACCCCGAAGGACGTCAAGCAGAGGAGATGCAGGACTTAAGCCCTGCTTAGTGTAGACGCTTGAACCCTCAACAAGTCTTTGTTGCCGACCCACCAGGAATGTGTCTGCACTAATCTGAGTTCACACTGCCTGACATCACTTCAATTGTCACGGCCCTGTCTTGGGGACCTCTGGGATTTGGAGTTTGGGAGAAGGGACTTTGAATTCTCTGCCATAGTTCAAACAATGGGAAGAAGACTCTCTTGACGCAGAATGCCAACCTCATAATCAAACTACAGTTCCCAGAATACTTTAGGCGTGAATCGTGGAAGCCTGAGAGGTATCAAGCAACTGTCATTGACTAATAGAGAGGCACTCAAATAAGTTCCTTCTGCATCTGATAAAGTAATAACCATGTGCTGTCAAGTCGATTCTCACTTTTTAGTGTTTTCTAAGAGTAACTCAGGGACGTGGTGGCGCTGTGGGCTAAACTACAGAAGCCTTTGTGTGCTGCAGGGTCAGAAGACCAGCAGTCGTAAGATCGAATCCACGCGACGGAGTGAGCTCCCGTCGCTTGTCCCAGCTCCCGCCAACCTAGCTGTTGGAAAGCATGCAAATGCGAGTAGATTAATAGGGACCACCTCGGTGGGAAGGTAACAGCGTTCCGTGTCTAAGTCGCACTGGCCACGTGACCACGGAAGATTGTCTTCGGACAAAACTCTGGCTCTATGGCTTGGAAATGGGGATGAGCACCACCCCCTAGAGTCGAACACGACTGGACAAAAAAAATTGTCAAGGGGAACCTTTACCTTATCTTTAAGAGTAACTCAGAAATGTTTTACCCTTCCCTTCCTCTAGGGCAATGGTCCCCAACCTTGGGCCTCCAGATCTTCTTGGACTACAACTCCCAGAAGCCTTCACTACGACCTCTGCTGGCCAGGATTTCTGGGAATTGAAGTCCAAGAACATCTGGAGGCCCAATGTTGGGGACCACTGCTCTAGGGGATGCCCTGGGACGTTGCAGCTTGCCCAAAGCTACCCAGGCTGGCTCTTTCTCCCCAGAGGCCCAGTGGGGGGGTTTGAACTCCCAACCTCTACGAAACCATTGAGCGATCTAGCCAGCTCTGCGTCTGATAGGAAGGGATTAATTGCACTCACTCAGCCACCACGACCAAGCATTCTGATTATACTCAAAGATGTTTTTCTCAGTGGTTATCATTTGTAATGTCATCAGGGCAGATCAGCAGTTTCCAAAATGACACCCACACCCACACCCACACCCACACAGGTCATGAATCTTTGACTCTTGTCAGAAACAGTAACAGAAAACAAACACCGCTGTTGTTATGTGCCATGATGTTGCTTGCAGATTAAGGTGACTTTACGAATTAATATCAGGCAAAACCAAAACAGACGTTAAAATAAAAAAAGGCAAAAATGTTGTGGCACTTTAAAAACTGTTATGTTTTAATGTAAGCTTTCTTGGATTTTTGAGGGCCTCTTATATCATTTCCTTCCAACCGTCTTCCCCTTTCCAGCCCGAGTCAGGACTTGCAAACTAAAAGCGGTGGCTTCCTTTATTCAATCCATCCATCTCGTGTTTTCGGGTCTTCCTCTTTTCCTGCTCTTTTTCCTGGCCTTCTTGTCTTTGTGAGTGGTTTCATGACAGGCCCGAAGGACGACAACCTCCGTTCAGTCATATTAGCTTCCATTTAGTAAAAGCCGAGATGCTGCTGTCATGGGCCATCAGGTCACTTCACCGACTTAGGGTGACCTTCACAATAACAACTTGGCCACACCGTTTGAGCCTCTCTAGCAGCAGGTCTAGGCTAGTCCTGCAGGGGGCAGTAGCACACAGATCACATAGGCACACGCCATCTGCTGGAGGGAAGAGGTAAAACAGGGCTCTGTCCCGTACTGGTCTTGCTGGTTTTCTTGCAGTATCCACCTTTACCCCATAGAATATGACCCCATACTATGTCCATTGCTTATCCACATTGGTCATTAGTCAGCCTCCACCGGGGGAGGGGGACGGGAAATCCACTTAGTAACCCAAGGGTCCGAAGTAATTATGTCTCTATGGAGCGCCAGGGGTGTGTGCGCATTTAATAGAAGTGGCCAGATACAACTTGTGGGCCACCTGTGGCTAAACCTCTGCGTTCTATCTATGCCTGAGAGATGGGAATTGCTTTACAAGTGGTGCCTCGCTAGACAATGATAATCCGTTCCACTGAAATCGCTGTTTAGCAAAATCATCGTCTAGCGAAAAGCATTTCCCCATTGTAATGCATTGAAACCTGTTTAATGCGTACCAATGGGGAAGAATCATCATTGTCTAGTAAAGATCGGCCATAGGAAAGCCACTTTGCGAATTGCCGATCAGCTGTTTAAATCGCTGTCTTGTGAAGCTTAGGTCCCGAAAACACCTGTTTTGTGAGTGCGGAGGGAGCTGTCAAAATCGTCGTCTAGCGGAAATCGGTTTGTGAAGCAGGGACCAAACATTGTCCAGCGAAATTCCCCCATAGGAATCACTGTTTTGCGAATCGCTATAGCGATCGCAAAAAGTCAATGTCTATCGAAAAAACTGTCATGCGGGGTAACTGTCTAGCGAGGCACCACTTGTACTTCTTAATCTAAAGGCTAAAAGGAGAGCTTGAAACCGGCCGGAGCGGCAGGCCCTCAGCTACCCTAACCCAACCTCAAATTTCTGGACGGAGGACAAGCGCTGAAACAAAAGGCTTAAGGACTGGATCGAGTGAAGTGAGGGGACCCCAGGCTCTTACACATGGCTTTTTTTGGGGGGGGGAGGCTCAACTTCTACTGCAGGATGGGGAGCAGAGGGCAGGATCCAGGGAAGCCTCCCGGGTTCACGACCTGGCGAGGGAGGGTCGCCACAGGATAGAGCTCAGAACATTTCCTTTTTTTTTTTTCAACTGCTGTTCCCAGCCCCCCCCTTTGGAAAAGTCCCGAAGTCAACTTTTCCAGGATCAGGCAGCAAGGAGGGAAGAAACGGATTCCTCGTAGGAGCCAGGACGGTTGACGAGAAGCCCAAGCTCCTGGTTTCAAGGGTGGTGATGGTTGTGATGATGATCTCTCTCGGTTGGGCAATGAAACAGATGAAACTTTGGGGCTGTAAAAGACACATTCCTTCAACCGTGGGGAGAAGCTGAAGGGATCCGGTCGGTGAGACGGCCGCGGAAAGGCGTGGCTCCTGAAGGGGAAAGAAAACACAAACCCTTCGCCTGATCCCAAGAGGACGGCTGTAGTCTAAAAGGGAAAGCTGCACCAGTGGGACTTCTTCCTGCTCCCTTTTGGTGTCAGAGCCCATCTCTCTAGTGACGGGATGGCAACGATCAAGAGCCAGCCCTGCCTTTGACTGCTCTCAACGCCCACAACGCAACTCAGTGTGGATTCCGAGGTGGAAACATCTGAAGCCAACTCTTTTCTCTCTCACGACATGGCTGACCTCCCCGGGTCATCGTGACATTCCTACGGCACGACGTCCATATCCTGGAGAAGATGTGATGGCGATATAATGGTTCGTCTCTGCTTTTTTTGCTCCCTCATATCTGCAGGGCCTGGCCACTCCTGGCCTCATGGGCGTGGCGAATCCTCTCCGGTTTCCTTCCGAACTTTAAGTGAACTTTAACTTTAACTCTCTCTCTCTCAGAAACCAGCTCCCTGTTTCACCTGCTCCTCTAAATCCATGTTGCTAAAAGTGGCCACGGTGAGGGAGGCCGAGAAGGTGACGACAAGGTGGGGGGCCTTCTTAGAGGTGGCCCCCAATCTCTGGAATAAGCGACCAACTGCGAGACACGATGCTCCTTGTACATGCATTCCTCCCCTTTCTTGTACAAATTCTTGATCTACATGATGAACTGTCCTCTCGTTGAACGTATTTTGTTATGCAGCATTTTGTGGGTTTTATGCTTTAACCGCCCAGAGTAGAGCGTGC